GATGCTGAAGCTGAAACTCCAATATTTTGGCCACCTGACTCATTTGAAAAGACCCTGACGCTGGAAAAGATTGAAATTGGGAGGAGAAGGGGACGACAGAGGATGAGATGGTTGGATGGTATCACCGACTCGATGAATAAGAGTGTGAGTAAACTCTGGGAGTTGGTGGCATGCTGCAGTCCATGGGGTTGCAAAGAGTCAGACACGACAGAGCAACTGAACTGAAATGAACTGAAAACAGAGCTGTGTAACTTCTAGAGACTCAGCCCAAGACCCAAGTTGTTATTTTAAAAAATGAGAAACTTCAGTGTCTAAATTTTATATCTTAACTACAGCCATAGGCTTCAAAAGCACAATGACTTCTTACCGTGTAACCCAGATGTTAGATGCATTTTATTTTGCTTCTTAAGATGATTCAAACTCCTATTTCATATTTTTTCCAAAGCCCAGTGCCCAACCCCAAATTTCTGAACATTCCTGGGGGACTGTCACTCTCATTGTTGTTTCTAACTCTGAATCCTGCTTCTGCTGATTAGTGTAACTGACAGATTATCTTGCCATGTGGCACACACTTTCCCTATTCTGCACCCCATAAACCCAAATGGGGAGCTCAGTCTGTTTCCACAGACACAGGCTCACACATACACTGCATCCTCACAAGGCATTTATGTACAGAGCAGAATTCACTAAAGATTTGGGATGGTAAAGGTAGGGTCTACATCATAGAAATAAAAGGATCATAAAACAGAACACTGCATAGTCTACGTCTTACAAGATTTTAAGATACATCCCTGTATTTCTCCACCCGTCACTCTCCCATGTTCCCTGTCTGTCCCGTTTTATCCACCTGTAGGTGTTTATTGTAGAGAACTATAGCTAGGACTGTTCTTTCCTTGTCTCCAGGTACCCAGGCTCTCAGAAAGAACAGTCCTAGCTATAGCCCTAAAGCAGATTCTCACCCCACTGTTAAGGTTTTTCCCTATAGAATACACAGAATGAATTAAATTTTGAAGCTGGATGATTCTAAGGGACTCTCGCTCTTTCATGCACTAAGTTTCATGGGTTTTTACATTGGAACCATGAAAGCTCTCAACTTACTCCCCACCTCTTGTGTCTGAGAGCCTTGTGTTACCCAGTTCTTTGCTGCAGGTAAGTCCCGCTAAACAATAATATTGTTACTATACTCTTAGAAATTCGTCCGTAAGAACACTTGGATTTTGATCATGCATAATACATTAATTAATTAATTAATTAATTAATTAATTTTCAAAAGACACATTCCCGAGAATGGAAAGGAAGTTAGATTCCTTCCTGCAGCAGAACTTGGGGGACTGAAGAATCTAAATGACATCAGGAAACAGCTGGTCTCCAGATAGATGTGTTTGTCCTCTAAAGTGATTAATAACCACATCGTTTGGAATGTCAGAAAGGCTGTTTTCCTAATTCTGCAAGGTCATTCAAGTCAAAGTAATTGTTCCTTTTCTATAGGTGGTGGTATAGGGAGCAGGCATCACCCCTTGCCTGGAGAGGATGGGTAATGAATATAACAGAATGATCTATGGGTTTAAATTCTTCCTTTGAGTCTAGAAATATGATCACATGGGTTGCTCCTAGGCCTAGAAGGCTAGAGTTTTAATACTGTGGCCTAAACACCCAGTTACCTATAAATGACATCAGGAAACAGCTGGTCTCCAGATAGATGTGTTTGTCCTCTAAAGTGATTAATAACCACATCGTTTGGAATGTCAGAATGGCTGTTTTCCTAATTCTGCAAGGTCATTCAAGTCAAAGTAATTGTTCCTTTTCTATAGGCGGTGGTATAGGGAGCAGGCATCACCCCTTGCCTGGAGAGGATGGGTAATGAATATGACAGAATGATCTATGGGTTTAAATTCTTCCTTTGAGTCTAGAAATATGATCACATGGGTTGCTCCTAGGCCTAGAAGGCTAGAGTTTTAATACTGTGGCCTAAACACCCAGTTACCTAAAGCAATTCAAGAATAGAAGAATAACGTGTAGTTGGCCATTTTTTCCTCAGAACTGTGGAGGCAATGTCAATCAACTCCCCTAGACTTGGGAGCTCAACTGTGTCTCTCAGCTGTCTCTGATCTCTAACGCCTCCCGCCCCCGAATCTGCTGCGACTGAGCTCACAGACTCAGCATAAACAGTCTCCCCAACATCTTACTGCGCTCCAGCCCCAGCAGTCTCTGTGTGGGTCCCCCACACCCACGGCGTGAGTCTTGGTACTGCTGCTTCTCTGTCTGGAGAGCTTGTCCTTCTTATTCCCCCGTGACCTCCCTTCACCATTTCATCCACTCAGAAAGGCTTTCTCTGATCACCTTATCTAAAACAGCTTTCCAGTCATGCTTTACCCCTCTTGCCTGCCTTATCTTTCTTTATAGAACTTACCCGATATTATAACATCTGTCTCCTCACTTAGAAAGTCCCTGAGGTCAAAGAGTTCACCACTGTATCTCCTATACCAGAACAGTAGGTCTTGTGCAGTCTGTTGAATTAAAGAAAATATGAATGGATAAGTGATAGACATGGAAGAAACTCTGTAGCTTAGTGGTTTTAGAGCATGGACATGTGAGACAGGAAATTCAGGTTCAAGTTCTAGCTTCTCTGTTTACAGGCTGTCTGAACTTCACCAAGTCACTGGACCCATCTCACAGGATGCTTATACAGATGAAATAAGGAAATAAATGTAAATGCTCAAGTGGGATAAGCATCATTGTTTTCCTTTTTGCCTCGTAGTTGAGGAACCAGAGGTAGACTGCAGAAGAAGATCTGGGCATCTGGTCTTGGGGATACCCTGTGCAAAGAAGGAAACAAATCTCTTATTCCCTCATAAAGCCTTTCTCAACAGGAATCAAAACCCTTAAAAACATGCACTTTGACTCAGCAGTTTTATTTCTGCAGATTTATCCTAAGGAAATGGTCCCCTCTGTGTACACAGATTTAGTGACATAGATCTTTACCATGGTCTTCTTTATAATAGCATTTTTGGGCTCCCCTGGTGGCTCAGTGGGTAAAGAATCTGCCTGCAATGTGGGAAACTTGGGTTCAATCCCTGGGTTGGGAAGATCCCCTGGAGAAGGACATGGCAACCCATTCTAGTATAATAACAAGAATTAGAAGTGTGCTAAGTGCCCAATAGGGAATTGATTTAATAAATTATGGTATAGCCATATGATGTAATATTACATGGCCATTTAGAATGTGATTGTAGAAAAATAGGTAATAACATAAGAAAATGCTTACATGTACTCAAATGAAAAAGACTAACATACACAAAAAGGACTGGGTGATTGGAATCAGAATGAATTGTATTTTCTTTGTGCTTTTGTGAATTTCTCACATTTTGTTCAGTAAATAGATCTTATTTTTATAATCAGTCTTTTATATACAAATAATAATAGCTTGTTATTATTAATAGCTTTTATTAATAATAACATTATTAATATAATATTAATTGTATTTAATATAATTATACAATATAATTATTAATATAATAATATTAATATTTTATTATTAATAATAGCTTGCCTCTTCACAGCAAAGTGTTACTACATACAAGGTAAAACTATGATAGATGCCTAAACTTGAGGGAGTTTCCCAAGTCCTGATGGAATAAAATTCTTATCTCTTGTTCCAAATGTCATGATTTTAAGTGAGCAATCTCCCTAAAGCTGTGGGCATACAGCAGATTCCAGAGTATTCCAGCCTCATGACTGTTAGGACCAACTGTGTGTGTTCTGAACATCCACATTACTCTGTATTAGCACATTTAACTGATGACCTTAGCTATGTTGCATTTTTAAAAAACCAAAATTGACTTACAGCATTACTCATTAGATTTAAATACTCGGGTGATTCATCATTTACAGTAAATCTATTAGATAAATTACACTGCAAAATTCACCATCGTCAGTGTGGCAGGCCTGCCTGGAAATTAAGAATGGGAAGGGAAATTGAAGGAGAGAGATTCCTATCCATGATTTGAAATTTAAACTTAGATAGCTATGGCAGGCATCCATGCCTCAGCCAAAGGGGAGAAGGCCCCTGTCACATGTCTAATATATTCTCCTCTAATAATAGCCTAGGATCTCTTTTGGAACAGGTTAATGCCTTGCTTCATAAGGAAAAATCTTGTATGTTAAAATACTTTCAGGAGTATTTCCTTACCGCTTGACATTTTTTTCACAGTATAATTGGACTGCATATGTGATACATGCAACAATAGTTAGGTTTCTGTCAGTTAAATATAGTCCCAAACCAACAGCATGTTCGGCTGGGGTCTCTTGCTCACCAGATGTTATTCCACTAATAGTGAGTGAGCTCATCCTTGGTGTGGAAGGCTATTCATTTGGGAGAGAATGAGTGAGACAATCACTGCATCACTGTTTCCTGTACATTATTCTCCCCTGCAGCTAACAAGGAAAATATGCTTCTGTGTTGGTTGTAAGCTAAGTCCTGTTATTGCTTTCTCAGATCTACATAAAGTGAATCTCAGGCAAACACTAGTCCAAATTAATATGGACCTGATCATTGACATTGGGGGGTTAGATTTGGGTATGGGCTTTGTCTCATCATGACTTTGAGGGTGTGATTATTAGATCTTGACTCCCGGGGGTACTATCCTCTCCTTACACTTTTGCAAGGGTAGTTATCTCATTTCCCTTAGTTGGCCATTTGGGAGGCAGAGACTGCTGCTTCTAGAATCATGAAGACTTTAGAATAATAGGGTAAACTTTTAAAATAAGGCTTATGAGATCATGTCTTTTTTTGTTTGTATGACTCATGTGGTGCTACCTATCTGATCACAAGTCCAGGTTCAGGGTAAAATTAACTTATAGATAAATAGCAAAAGAGTGTATATGTATATACACATATATACATATATAAGACACATACACATATTTGTATATATATATGTTTTATAAAAAACAAAAACAATCTTTATGTGGAAGCTATTTTTAGAAAGCACATATTTATCAGTGAAGAACCTTCACCCATTACTAAATTTTATTGTAGCCTTTCTTTAAATACAGTAACAGCAGCAAGCAATATTACTAAATTTCATGAGAAAGCTTTAACTTCTGCAAAGGGCCTAAACCAATCCTGTTTTTCTAGTGTCTTATTTATCTTTAGAGAACATGATTACAAAGAAAAGTGAAACATCTAATAGTAAACCATTTGGCGAAGCTTTCTTTCCCTTTTTTTAAATTTCTTTTTTTAAATTATTTTTTATTGAAGTATAATTGACATACATCATTATATCAGTTTCAGATATATCTGTATATATTGCAAATCATTTTACAATATATACTAGTATCAAATCATTATCTTGCGATACATGTTAGACAGTAAGTCTAATTAACCTGTCATCATGCATAGTTGTAGGATTCCTTTTCTTAAGATGAGAACTTTTAAGATCTGTTCTCAACTTTCATATGTGCAATCAATACAGTGCTGTTACCTACAGCCACCATGCTGTACATTACATCCCTAGGACTTGTTTATTTTATAACTGGAAGTTTGTACCTTTTGACTCCTTTCACCCATTTCACTTATCCCCACCCTAGTTCTGGCAACCATCAATCTGTTCTCTGTATCTATGAACTTGATGTTTTGTTGTTATTGTTGTTTTTAAATTCCATGTATCAGTAAGATCACATGGTATTTGTCTTTCTCTGTCTGACTTATGTCTTTAGCATTGTGCCCTCAAGATATATCTATATTATCACAAATGGCACAATTTCATTCTCTTTGTGGCTAAATCATGCTCCATTGTGTGTGTGTGTGTGTGTGTGTGTGTGTACATACCATGGCTTCTGTATCCATTCACCTGTCAACAGACACTCAGGTCCTTTCCATGTTTGCTGTTGTGAATAAGGCTACTGTGAGTATGGGAGATGCATGTATTATTTTGAGTTACGGTTTTCATTTTCCCTGATAAATAGCTGGTAGTGGAATTGCTGGATCATGTGGTGGCAGTTCTACTTTTAATATTTTGAGGAACCTCCATACTGTTTTCCATAGTGGCTATACCAATTTACATTCCCCTCCACAGCACACAAAAGTTCCCTTTTCTCTACATCCTTGTCAGCATCTGTTGTCTCTTTTCATTTGGATAAAAGCTGTTCTTACAGGTGTGAAGTGATATTGCACTGTGGTTTTGATTTGCATTTCCCTGATGACTAGTGATGCTAAGCATCTTTTCACATTCTTACTGACCATCTGTATGTCTTCTTTGGAAAAATGTCTGCCCGGATCCTCTGCCCATTTTTATTAGGATTGTTTGTTTTGCTATTGAGTTTAATGAGGCCTTATATATTTTGGATATTGTCATATATATGATTTGCAAATATTTCCTCTCATTTTAATAGGTTGTCAATGAAACCATTTTGAATTGGGCATCCAGCAGTGTCTGCTCACTTTCTCTCATGCCCTCTTGAGCTGCCTAATCTTTTTGGCACCTAAATGTCACATCAGAAAGGAAGTTAGATGCCTGGGGAAATACTTGGCCAGTGATAAATCCTCTTATATTTTTAACTTTTATTGCATTCTTTCCTATATTGATCTCTACCCCACATCTGTTCCTTCCTATGGCACATTTGTACAGAGAGACCTGAACTGAAAATTAGGATTTCTGGAGCAGTTCCCAACTCCACACTTTCTGTGTCCTGACCTCTTCCCAGGTTTTGAAATCTTCATTTCTATAATTGGAATAATAATATCATTAGTGGCAAAAAAAAATCCTAGAATGCATGGCATACACATGTTGAGTAAATATATATGATTTGCAAATATTTCCTCTCATTTTAATAGGTTGTCAATGAAACCATTTTGAATTGGGCACCCAGCAGTGTCTGCTCACTTTCTCTCATGCCCTCTTGAGCTGCCTAATCTTTTTGGCACCTAAATGTCACATCAGAAAGGAAGTTAGATGCCTGGGGAAATACTTGGCCAGTGATAAATCCTCTTATATTTTTAACTTTTATTGCATTCTTTCCTATATTGATCTCTACCCCACATCTGTTCCTTCCTATGGCACATTTGTACAGAGAGACCTGAACTGAAAATTAGGATTTCTGGAGCAGTTCCCAACTCCACACTTTCTGTGTCCTGACCTCTTCCCAGGTTTTGAAATCTTCATTTCTATAATTGGAATAATAATATCATTAGTGGCAAAAAAAAATCCTAGAATGCATGGCATACACATGTTGAGTACATTCGAATAGTTTGGGACGTGCCAGTGGATCCAGGGTTGAGTGTGGCTTTTGTCTGGACCCTAGGCACATTTGCCTTCGTGGCCCTTTCCTTTATAAAAAGACATGTATAAGATATATTTTATGATTGCATTGATATAATGATAAATATATTAACATTTTAAGTTGAACTATTTTCCTTGACCTAAGAGTTTATTTTTCTTCTGACATTAAAGGAATGAAAAGATTTTCATGGGCTCTAAAATTATCGTAGAACCCTCAGTACTGTGCC